CACACACACACACACACACACACACACACACACACACACAGACATTCACACGCACACAGGCAGGCAGTCACACAGACAGACAGTCACACAAACAGGCAAACAGTCACACACACACACTTACCTCTTTCCAGTGGATGCAGTTGGCTGATGGGGAAGCATCTTTCCCTCTTCCTGTACAGCAGGGGCTTCGGGAGGTATTAGCCCGTCTCCGCCTCTCGATAAGCCCCGCCTCCGCCGCTCGGTAAACCCCGCCCCCTCTGCCGCGATTTTTTTTTTTTTAAATAGACCCGGGTGGAGAATAATTAATCCTCCAGCCAGGTACCTCTTTTAGCTCCCCTGCACTCCGGCCATGAGTGAGCTGTGTCGGCCACAGGGCGCCCCCTGTTCCATGGCGCCCTGTGCGGTCGCACAGCTCGCACACCCCTAAGGCCGGCCCTGCCTCCCACAACTGCAGGCCAAGCCTTTACATTTATGTGCCTTCCAGTGCACCCCTTAACCCCAAATGCCTGTTACTTCTAAATGGAGGTATAAGGAATGCCTCCCACCCTTAGAATCAATATAATGAAAGAAAGCTGGAGATTGTAATGATACCCGTTTTTTTCACTAATATATGGGACAGGTGTAGCGGAGAGCTGCTATTACACAGGTTATCTCCACTTAAGAAATAGAAAACACGGACACCCGTGAAAAAAGTGTGAAAACACAAAAAAACAACAAAATGAAAAACTTAGCTGATAGGTACACTGCTTCCCAAGGTTATCTCCCAGCTGATAACCATATAGCAGAACTGTGTAATTGATAGGATATTTTGGGATACTGCTAGTATACCTGTAATAGAGAACAAAACATAGTGCAAATATTGCTAAATATTATAAAACTTCCAATGATTGAAATGCACTCACATATTCCAAAAAGATAAGCGTATTATGGGTGCCTCCCCTCGATGGAAATAGGGGGTTAACTCCTATTGATTTCTCCTCCTCAAGTGATAGCCAATGGGGTATCCAGGTCAGCAAAACGGTCCACAAACAGCAACCACAGGAATACTTCAAAGGCAATTTATTCACTTACAAAAATTCTGAAGGTGTGCAAATAAAACATAAAAACAATATAAAAATGAGATGCTGGTCCTACGCGTTTCGTCCTTATACAAAAAGGACTTCCTCAGGGACCACCTATTTCAATAAAATATCAATTGACAAATACACAGAGATGCTGTTTACTCTGTGTATTTGTCAATTGATATTTTATTGAAATAGATGGTCCCTGAGGAAGTCCTTTTTGTATAAGGACGAAACGCGTAGGACCAGCATCTCATTTTTATATTGTTTTTATGTTTTATTTGCACACCTTAATTTTTGTAAGTGAATAAATTGCCTTTGAAGTATTCCTGTGGTTGCTGTTTGTGGACCGTTTTGCTGACCTGGATACCCCATTGGCTATCACTTGAGGAGGAGAAATCAATAGGAGTTAACCCCCCTATTTCCATCGAGGGGAGGCACCCATAATATGCTTATCTTTTTGGAATATGTGAGTGCATTTCAATCATTGGAAGTTTTATAATATTTAGCAATATTTGCACTATGTTTTGTTCTCTATTATAGGTATACTAGCAGTATCCCAAAATATCCTATCTCCACTTAAGATCTCAGTTAGGCTCAGGAACAAGTATTAGAAATCCATAAGGCAATAATTCCAGCAGGCAAAACAATCCAGCAATACCCCAACATCAATCCCAATGTCTGGACGACACACAGCAGCAGGAGCAGAACTGAACTTTTAATCACTTCACCTTCTTTTAAAGCATGCTCCCATACAAGGGAGGGGTTTACAATAATTATTAAAGTAGCCAATCATACATGAGTTACCGCCCACACATTCCCTCCCCTTAGCCTGACTCATAATCCCATTATGCAGGACACAAATTCCCTTGGTTTCTGGATGTACCCCTAAAAAAGTGACCTCGCCACTGGTTTTTGGATGGTTTGCCAGCCTCCTGCCCTGCGACTATGGCTCTGGGATGAATTTCCCTTCTAGGAACTGATTTGGGCATATTGTAATTTATTATGCTGCTGCTGGCCCTTTAAGAACCATCTGGGGACATACTGTGGAGTTACTGGGTGGCCACCATTTCATGTATCAGAGGCACATGGTGAGAACAATGGATGGCGGCCATTTTAACTCACAGACACTGTTTGGACTTTTCTACACGGTACCATCTCGCCAGTATTTGGTGCACAAAAGACATCGTGCAGTAGTTTTAAACTATAGAACAAGGAACACATTATACAGTAATTATTTTTCATATAGCCTGTATATGTTCTGCGGAATCTGCATTAAACTGTATCTTACAAACTACTGAACGGATCTGGGTGAATTTTGGATATGTGGTTCAACCAGATCCCCCGGTTCCGAGGATATACTAATGGGGTTATTGCATGTTTTGGGGTCCCTGTGATATGTTTTATAATACTGTATTTCTCTGCCTGTGATAATTATATTACCCATTGTGGTCAGTAATCATATCACAGGCAGAGGGGAGGATTTTGTGTGGGAGTGTCTGTGTGTATTGTACGGATTGATTGGTTGTATTTCAAAACCCTGTGGGCGGTGCTATGTTTGTGGATTGTGAATAAAAGAGGCTGTATGTGCCAGAACAGTCAGTTCTACTTGACCTCAAAACGAAGTGTCGTCTCGTTATTGGGGGAATTGGATTGTATGCTGATTGCCAGGAGTGTAAGCTAAATGTATGCTTTTCCTGTTCAGCTGCATTCATATGCTTGAGAGCATTCGTATGCTTCTCCGGATCGGTGGTTGTGGTGTCTGCTGCAGTGCTTGGAGTCCTCAGGAAGCGCTAGGAGCATCCTTCAACGGAGGTACCCAGTCGGGGTGCCAGGTGATCCGTTACATACCCCTTTAAATATTAGATCCCCTGGTAGCCCTGATCTGGGTGAGGGACATATCCAAAAATCACCCAGATCAGACCAGGGGTTCGGGAGATTTGTGGAAGTAGTAAAAAGACCGACCACACTGGAGGTAACAGCCGAAATTGGTTCCATGCATTTTGGCCCTGCGTTCAGTCACAGAAAAAGGGAATAAACTGCACGAATGACTTGGGCTATGGAGACTGGAGAGGATTCGAATGAATCCCCTTGTTCATGTGTTTCTGTCTACCGACCGGGAAGCCGTTCAGTAGTTTCTACACGAATTTACGGGTAGTGTGGAGGTCTCAGCTGTGTTTGCCTAGCCGAGTGTCCGATTTGGGTTCCAGACACTCGATGGCAAAACACAGCTGTTCGGAAGTTTTAAAATGGCCACCGCCACGTGTTTGTTTCCCGAGTGGCGGCCACCCAGAGGACAAAACACACATTACACGAATCACCAATTACCCATTTGCAACATTGTTGCGAACGGTAATTGGAGGCACACTTATTCCTGGGTGGTCTGGTTGTTCGGTAATTTTCATTCGTATGGAATACGGATGAAAACTAACGAACAAACATACGAATGCTACATACAATTTTAGTTATACATGAGAATACACACACAAATTGCACTTTTAACCCTTGAGGACAGTCCAATGTCATCCGCTACACTGCTCCCCCTTGCCCACAAGCCAGCATACACAATCTGATCCAACACAGATCGGCTTGGGGATGACTGGGCGGCTCACGGATCAGTTTTCAAGGTCAGTTTGTCTGGACAACCCATCAGCGTTGCCATTCTGTTTTCCCGGGGGGTACTGGATGTTAAAGTCAAACGGCTGCAGCGCCAAACTCCAGCGCAGCAGCCTGGCATTGTCCCCTGCCACCTGGTTTAACCATACCAACGGGTTGTGATCCGTGAGCAAAGAAAAGGACTGTCCATACAAATAGGGTTGTAATTTCTTTAAGGCCCACACCACAGCCAGGCACTCCTTCTTGATAGCGGCGTAGCTCACTTCTCTAGGTAATAGTTTCCAGGTGATGTAGGCTACGGGATGTTCTCCGACATTGACCCCGACTTGACCTAATACTGCCCCCAATCCAAACATAGAAGCGTCTGTGTGAACAAGAAAATGTTTAGTTGGATTGGGAGCGGCCAAGACAGGGGCATTGATAAGTGCATTTTTCAAAAGCTGGAATGCCTTCTCACACTCCGGGGTCCAGGTTACTTGGCGGGGAAGGTTTTTGCGGGTAAGGTCGGTATGGGGTTTGGCCAGGGGCTAAGTTGGGCACAAACTTCCTGTAATACCCGGCTGTCCCTAGAAAAGCGAGTACTTGGGTCTTTGTCCTGGGGGTTGGCCATTGAGCCACGGCCTCTACCTTTGCGGGTTCAGGCTTCTGCTTCCCGCAACCTACTCGGTGTCCAAGGTACTGTACCTCAGCCATACCTATACTGCATTTAGCAGGATTCAAGGTTAATCCTGCTTCCTGGATTCTATCTAGCACTGCTCCTATATGGGCCAGATGTTCCTGCCAGGTATAGCTAAAGATAGCAATGTCATCTAAATAAGCACAGGTGTAATCTTGGAACCCATCTAGGAGCCGGTCCACCATCCTCTGGAAGGTAGCCGGTGCTTTTTTCATCCCAAACGGCATCACCTTAAATTGGTATAAGCCGAATGGGGTGACAAAGGCGGACTTAGGGATGGCGTCCGGGGCCAATGGAATCTGCCAATACCCCTTACAAAGATCAATGGTCATGAGGTATTGGCCCCTGGCCATCCGGTCTAACAGTTCATCTATCCGGGGCATAGGGTATGCGTCAGAGACTGTCTTTTCGTTTAACCTCCGGTAGTCCACGCAGAAGCGGGTCGTACCGTCCCTCTTTGGTACGAGGTCTACAAGGGAAGGCCCAGGGACTGTCTGACTGCTCAATCACCCCGAGTTGGAGCATCTCCTCGATCTCCTTGCGCATGTTCTCCCTTACTGCTTCAGGGATGCGGTAAGGCGTCTGGCGCATGGGAAGTTGCTCTGGGGTTTCTACCCGGTGAGTGGCCAGAGGGGTGTACCCAGGTATATCGGAGAAGGTATCTTGTTTTTCCTTTAGTAATTGCTGTACCTCGTTACGCTCCTGTGGGCTCAACCAATCTCCCAGCGTAACCTCCCCTAGATCCCCGGACAGCCGACCGTCCCCCAGCAGATCTGGGAGAGGAAGGCTGTCGAACTCCTCAGAGGAGGGGGCTCAAATGGCTGTCACCTCCTCTGAACGTTCCTGGTAGGGCTTCATCATGTTCACATGAATCATGCGTCGCCCTCCA